GCTGCCCTGCCCCCTCCCCATCCCAGAGTGGACTGGAGGTCTATTTTCTGGAGAGACTGAACTGGAATAATGTTGGAAAGGGTTGTGGGTGACTGAAAACGGGGGACTGAATGAGAGCTGGGACCTCCATGCTTGTCCCCTGCCCTGTCCCATTAAGCCAGCAGTCAGGCCCGTGTAGCCCCAGCAAGGGAGTGGAAACTTCTTTTCTTGACAAATCAAAGAGCTCTAGGGAAAAAAAGATGCCCCCAGATACTGAAGTGTATGGGTCCGTCAGTGGAAAGCTTGGCACCTTTTTCCCTCCATTACTTGAAGCTCACCAGTAAATAACTCCTCCACACATACAGAGCCTCCAATCTACTTTTAGTACTTTGTTCATAAATGGGATTAGGCAGCTAAGGAACTGACTCATGTTAGGGAAGCCTCAACATGAAAGGCATGGACCAAAACAAAACGGAAAAGAGCAACCTTGCAGAAAATGGAGATGGTGCAGGAAGCACAGAAAATGTAGTTTTTGAAAAAAAGTTACAGTAATATTTGTAGAAAGCGAGAAGCTATTTCAATGTCTAAAATGAGAATAGCACTTATGAAAGAGAATTAGAGAGCAAGAAAGATCGTAGGAATAACAAACACTTGAATTTAAAAAAAACTGTTGAGGATCTGTTTCTCCAAAAACAGAACAACATCAACAACAAAATTCGAGTTGAAAAGTAGATAAGAAAGAAATGCCAAAAACCGAAATTCAGTCTAAAAGATTTAACATTACTAATATATTAGGTGCAAAAATAAAAAGAAAATAAAGTAGTTCTCTGAATGTTATCATAGAAATAATGCAAGAACATTTCATAGAACTCAAGACTTGGGTTTTCAGATTGAAGGAATATATTAAGTGCCCGTGTGTTATAAAAGTGTTCAATTTTATAAAACTCTCACTTGGGTACATCACTGTGAACTTTCAGAACACGAGGGACAAAGAAAATGTCCTGAAAACTTTCAGAGAAAAATAATCAGGGCATACACAGAGGAAAGGCTATCATAATAGCACTGAAATTCTTTACAGCATTCCTGAAAGCTAAAAGATAATGCAGTAATACTTCTAAAGATCTGAGGGAAAATTATTTCTAACCTAGATTCTAAATCTAACTAGTCTATCGATCAAAAGTAAGCGTAAAGACATTTTTTTCCCCCTGCATACAAAGATGCAAAAATGTACTCCTTTGGAACTTTTCTTAAAAATCTACTGGAAGTATGCTCCATCAGACCAATAGGGTAAACTCAGAGAAAGGAAGGTACAGAACTGGGAAAAAATTGGGAACGAAAGGAGAAGAGCAACCAGATTCTCATGTAGGGCAGGACGGTAGAGGGTTGCAGAAGGGAGATCACCAGGAGACAAGATTGCTGAATTATCTGCTACTTTGATCGTCTGGAAATGAGTATTAGTAAGTAACAGTTGTGATGGAGCCGATGAAAGGATTTAAGGATAGGTATACAGAAAACAACACAAGTAAAACTAGTAATCAATTACTAACTCTAGAAAAGTTAAAATTTTATAAGAAAGAAAAGATGACCAGAGTCTACAATTTGGCTCTTTGGTGAACAATATGTAGTCATGATATTATAAATGATTGGCTCTCGATTTTATTATTGGGAAGCTGGCAGAATGAGAAATTCACATGTGTGCTGTATTATTTACCATATGCAAAACTGGTAAATTAAGAAATAAGCATATTACCTAGCAACATGGAGGTTAATTCTGGGACAGCTATAGTTTGCAATTGGTTTTCTCTGGGGAATATGACTGGGATGAGGGAAGGGAAGCTGGAGAGTACAAGTTTTCATTATATTTTGTTTTCCTTTGGTTAAAAATGATGAAAATGAAAGTAGACATAATAAAAATAACTGGACTCTCTGAAATAATGATAAATTTTGCAGAGGAATGTAACTCTCCAAGTTGTTTCTATCTGTAAAATAGGTAATGATGTCTAGCATGTTTTATATTTAAAAGGCTAATCACCAAGCAAAACTGACAGCATCATGCTAGTAGTAGGAGACAAATGTATCCAGGAAGACCCAAGACAAATCAGAAAGACAAAATAAGTAAGGATGTGCCATGGCTGAATCAAATAATGTGGTAAGGTTGTTTTAATGGATGTATTTTGAATGTCATGCCTTAAAGAAGGACTGTACCCAGGATTCATTAGACATTGACAAAAATAACCCATATGTTTGCCTACAAAGGAAGCTTTACTGCATTTAAAAAGGAAGAATAGTCTTTATCTTCCCACTATAATGCAAGTAGCAATGTCCAACATATAGAAATAGAGACCTTCCAAACCAAAACAACACAACAACAAACATATTGGATATGGAAAACTTTCTCAAAAACAACTCTTATGGCAAAGAAGAAATCAAAACCACAAACTGAAAGCATCTAAAAAAGTAGTAACAGAAACATTACTGTGGTGGAAAGCTGCCTTCCCAGTGTCCGTTTTCTTTTCTCTTTTTACTAACAGAACAGTGACCTTGTTGAGCACGTCACTGACCAGCTAAAATCCCTATTTCACAGCCCTCCTTTCAGTCAGTGGGGCTGCAGGGTGGGGGTGAAGGCCATATAATTAAGTTCTCACTAATAAGATGCAAGGAATGATGAGTGGGCAGGGCTTCCAGGAAAGCTCCTTAAAAAGAAAAATGACTCAGCTGCGTAATAAGTCTTTGTTATATGTGACACTGGATCAGCCCTCTTAGAATCATACAGTATCTAATAGGCACCAAGGGTAGATGAGTGGGAAGATAAAAGAGGTGTTCCTCAAAAATATCCTGGGATCCATTCATTCCAGCCCTGGTCCTACGTCTGGGGGGGAAAACATCTCTCTCTCTAGTATTTTTTATCTTCACTCAAAGACATTTTTTCATTGCTCTTTTGAGAGAGGAAGAGGGGGAGAGAGAAACATTGATTGGTTGCCTCCCATACACACCCTGACCAGGAACTGAACTGCAGCCTAGGTATGTGCCCTCGCAGGGGATTGAACCTGCAACCTTTCGGTTTATGGGGTGATGCTCCAACCAACGGAGCCACTCAGGCTAGGGCAAAAAATCCTAACTCTTAAATTGCTATTTTGGATCTCTTTGTTAATGGGAACCAACAAAATTCCTAACTGACACAGTCATATCTCATAATTTCTGGAATATAATTAAAAATAAAAATAAACAAATGAAGCACGCAAGTTCAGAAATTAGAAACAAAAACAACAAAATAATGGAAAGCAGAAGGAAATACTAATGCTCAAACTTGAACTCAATAAATTAGAAAATGAAAAAAAAAGAAAGGATAAGTCTGCCCTGGCCAGTGTGGCCCAGTTGGTCGGATGTTGCCTCATAAAGAAAATGTCACCAGTTTGATTCCTGCTCGGTGCACATTCTGGGTTGTGGGCCTGGTCCCAGGTTGGGGTGTGTGCGAGAGGCAACTGATCGACGTTTCTCTCACACATTGATGTTTCTCTCCCTCTCTTTCTCCCTACCGTCCCCTCCCTCTAAATAAATAAAATCAAATCTAAAAAAAAAAGGAAAGGAATAAAAAGGATAAATCTAAGAGCTAGTTCTTTAGGGGGAACAACAATTTAAAAAATATAGACATATATTTTACCTATGTAATCAAGAAGCTGGTGAAGAAAACACAAACAAAACTAGATCATGTGAAATAGATATAGAGATGAAGTGACTTACACTTTGCAAAACTCTGTGCAAATAAATTTGAAAACGTAGGTCAAATAGAAGATTTTATGGGAAAATATGCTACCAGATTGATTCCAGTAGAGGAAGAAACTCGAAGAAGCTGCTAACAGTGAAAGAAATGAGACAGCTGTGCTCTGTGACCAGTTCTTTTTGCTCTCATTGCTGTTTGAGTTTTTTGGTGTGATAAAGTGAAATTCTGGTGAGCGAGACCCGCTGAGTGTGGCACAGGCTGAGGATCTGTGTGCGTTTCTGACAAGCCTGGCCACACACCAGAGGGGAGAAGGCAGTGATTCTTGGCATTAGGACCCATCACAAAATAAGAAGCTCTGAGCCTTCAGTTTTATATAACATATTTCAGATCAATATGTTACTTGATCTTTTTTAGTAAGAAAAAAATGATTGAAAATTGTTTTTATTTTTTTTTAAAGATTTTATTTATTTTTAGAGAGAGAGAGGAAGGGAGGGAAAAAGAGAGGGAGTGAAACACCGATGTGCCCGAGATACATTGATAGATTGCCTCTCACCCTCCCCCAACTGGGGACCTGGCCTGCAACCCAGGCTTGTGCCTGACTGGGAATTGAACTGGCGACCTTGAGGTTCACAGGTTGGCACTCAATCCACTGATCCACTCCAGCCAGGGCTGACAATGGTTTTTAATCATTTACTCTCACTGTTGGTCTCTGAAACAACTGATTCCTTAAAGTAAAAATGTTTTAAACAGTATATCCAAATAAATAGTGATAAACGTTTCAAAGCAGTATTATTATGCATAGGAAAGATTGAAAGGGTTGTTTTGACCGAAAAACTAATTGTATAGGAAGAAAAAAAGGCACTGAGCATCAGAACACCATGCTCTTAATTAATTCCATGGAAAAGTACCCTTTCTCCAATGCTGGTGACTGGAATTTCCCTATTGGTTAAAAATAAATAGCTTAAAGTGTGTGGAGACTAGTTAAGGATAAAAATAAAGCAACCAGAACAGCCTGTCAGCTAGAAACAGAATCATGAAATTACGCCATAGGCTTCAGATCATTACACCAGTCGTCTACCCTAAGGCCAGGGTTTGAGCCCGGTGTTGATAAACACCATGGTCTTGTGAGCCCAGGAGCATCCAGAAAGGCCTGTTTGGACAAGCATTTGGTTCTGAAGTTTCCTTGCTGCTTAAAATGTTCTTTTCCCCCTTGAACTTTGACCTTTTCCCACATAGTCTTCATTTAAACAGATGTAATTCTAACTTAATGTCCTCTTTTTACCCCATCTTTCCCTGGTAGCAAGAGCAGTGAACCATGGAGCTGTATTTTGGTGAATATCAACACGTGCAGCAGGAATACGGCGTCCATCTGAGACTCGCAAGTGATGAAACCAAAAAATCAAGGAATTCCCAGCCCTCGAAGGCAGGTTCTTATGGTGTCAGTATTCGGGTACAGGGAATTGATGGCCATCCCTACATAGTCCTGAATAACACAGAGCGCTGTCTGCCGGGTACATCTTTTTCTGAAAATGGGCCCTCATTTCCATCTCCAGTGATAAATAACCTGCCTGTGCATCCCAGCAATGGGGCTGGGCTAGAGGAGAACAGCACAGAAGAACAGCAGCTTCCAGAAAACCCGTATGCCCAACCCAGCTCAATAAGAGCCCTGAAACAACCCTCTCCCTTTGAGGGCAAGAATGGAGTTCTAGAATGCAAAGAGGGGCCCATGAAGCCATCCCACGTACTGAACTTTCAGAGGCATCCAGAGCTTTTGCAGCCCTATGATCCTGAGAAGAATGAGTTGAACTTACAAAATCACCAACCTCCCGAGAGTAATTGGCTAAAAACCTTAGCAGAAGAAGGTACTAACAATAAGAAGGGTTGGACTTGCTTCCCCAAACCTAGTAGTTCCTTGCCTACCAGCCCTCCTGTGGAAGACCTGGCCAAATCCAACGTGACGGCCATTCGTTTATGCAGCTCGGTGGTCATAGATGACCCCAAGAAGCAGACCTCAGTGTGCGTGAATGTGCAGAGCTGCACCAAGGAGGGGCTGGTAGAGGAGGCTCTTTCCCCTAGCGGGAGGCCCCTACCTGCACACAGCCCACACGCCTTCTCCGAACCGAAGAAGACCAGGCCAGACGTGCTTCCCTTTCGGCGACAAGATTCAGCTGGTGCCATCCTGGATGGAGCACGGTCTCGGAGATCTTCCTCATCGTCGACTACGCCCACTTCGGCCAACTCCTTGTACAGATTTTTACTTGATGATCAAGAATGTGCCATCCATGCTGACAATGTGAATCGTCATGAAAACAGAAGGTATATCCCCTTCTTGCCCGGAACTGGGCGCGATATCGATACGGGATCAATTCCTGGCGTAGATCAATTAATTGAAAAATTTGACCAAAAACCCGGAATGCAGAGAAGGGGAAGGTCTGGGAGGCGAAACAGAATCAATCTAGAAGACAGGAAGAGGTCCAGAAGCGTGGATAGCGCCTTTCCTTTTGGTCTCCAAGGGAACTCGGAGTACCTAAACGAATTTAGCAGGAACTTGGGCAAGTCCAGTGAACACCTCCTGCGCCCCTCTCAGGTGTGGCAGCGGCCGCCAGCTCAGGAGAACCGTGGGAAACAGAGCATGGGCCGCGCCTCCACCAAGCTTCAGGGAGCCCACCCCAGGCCTCCCCAGCAGAGCAAAGAGGGGAAAGTTCTAGAAAGCAAAGGCAGTCAGGAAAGTACAACCACACATGCAACTTCCCTCCCAGCACAGAATAAGAAGGAGGAGGAGATCAAAACAGCCACTGCTACACTGATGTTACAGAATCGGGGCCTAGCAACTTCACCTGACTCTGGTGCCAAGAAGATTTCTGTGAAGACATTTACTTCCACCTCAAATACTCAGGTAATAGTAGTGTGAGTCCCATTGCCCCGCTTTCTCCCCGCCTTCTAAATGCTGCAGCCTCATGCTGCAGGAGGCTATAGAAATACATACCCTCCATCTGGAATGGGTGATTGCACATCCAATTTTTTACAGGAGTTTTTCCTACAGGTATGTCCTACTGCCGATTGTATGGTTTTCTAAGTTAATTCAAGTACAACTAGATTTCCACTGGGGTCTTGTCTGTAAAGTAACCTGTCAAATACTACAGAGAAGTTCGACTTTTTGGTTTGTATAGGTGTGAAATAAGGAAGTATATGGAATCTGTTTCCATGCAGAGGTTCAGTGCTTGGGTTTGTGCATTCATTTTCTTCATGATGAATTTGAGTGAATGGGTTAATTTCTGGCCTGAGAAATTAGGTTAACCCTAATTTAAGGTCAACCCTAAAGTGATGGAATTTATTTAAGTGGTATATTTAGTGTCTTGGTAGACACAATAAAAAGTAATGATAATGATAAAAATGATAATAAGGTTAGTAGATGTCAGGCACTATTTGTTGTGTATTATAGGATGGCACCAACCCTGTGAAGGTAGGTCCTATTAACCTCAATTTACAAGTGAGAAAATTGAGGTGAGGAAAAGTTAAGCAACTTGCTCAAGGTTACAGAGCTATTTACTAAGTGGTGGAGCCAGTTGTAATGAGGATCCTTACCTGAGGAATCATTTTTGGAAAGTAGGAATGTGTTTGGAAGCTTCTGCTTCAGGGTTTTGCCTTCTTCCTGGAAACACCATCTAATAACAGACATTATGTTCCAGGCCACACCGGATCTCTTAAAAGGCCAGCAGGAACTCACTCAACAAACCAATGAGGAGACGGCCAAGCAGATACTTTACAATTACCTCAAAGAAGGGTTAGTACATTTCCTTGAAGGAGCAAAATATTATCATTTCTTGTGGGGCTCTTAATTTCCTTGTTTGAGACCTTGTGTTTTGCCCTCCTTTGCTGACCTGTGTGAGTCCTTTGAGGGTTAAGATTTAATGGCTGGAGTTTTCACAGCAACATTTAAATCTTGGGTGGTGGGGAGTGAAGAGCAGGGGAGGAGAGGGTAAGGAAGGACATCATACTTCAAAAATTAGAAATGAATGTATTTTTTAAATGACCTGACTGAATTTGTTACTAAAAACAAACTCAAAGTTAGAAGAATATCTGTCACTCAGTTTGGAATTAAGTCTGCCTTCACCTTGCGTTCTTCCATGCACACACTAGGACTCTATCTATCATCCCTTGATGAGAAGTTACAAATAAAAACACCTCTTTCCCTTTCCAGAGTTGACACTGGCCAGGAGCCCCTGCTTCCATTATTTTAAAAGCATGTATGAGTCATTTAAAAGCAGCGCTTTCCACGTACTTATCTTGGAGGTTGAGTTTGCGTAATCTGGTTTTCAGTCCTTACTTAGATAATAACTGCGCTGGAATTCCAGGTCAGGAATTTGAAGTTTCTGTTTCAGTTCTCTCATCAGATGTGATTAAAAAGGAAAAAAAAAACTTTACAGGCTGACATGACTGAAAGTCACATGGCAGTACTCGTTGGTTATCAAAAGACTTCACATTTTTGTAGTGAGCCTTACAATTATTTGTTAAGTAATAGAGAGCTGAAAAAATAGTCAGGTTCAAAATATAAGATAAGGGCTCTTCTGAGGAAAAAGAAAAAGTACCCAAAGAGATTCTTCTATTCTTCTAGCCAAGAACTAGTTATTAATATTGCTCTATGAAGGGTTTTACTTAAGGTTAAGGTAGGAGGACTTTTGATTTTTTAAATTCTCTAAATTCTTTTATTATTATTTTTGGTTTATGATTTGAGAGACTGGTGAGACAGACTTTAGTGGAGTCACCTATTTAAAGAAACTTATTAAAATTTTTTCCCCCCTAATTGTTAGGTATGTGTGATAGAAGGTGTGGTTGAAGTTAAGAAGACTTTAGCCAATCATTCATTACCTGTCAACGTCTAGGCAAAGGGCTGCTGTGTTGACAATCTTGGCTTGGGGGATTTATTTTTTTAGACATACACTAAATAAGTTAAGATCACTGCAGATCATTCTTAAGCCTAAGATTTAGAAGTAAAAATGTATGCATGTGTGAGACACACAGAGGAACAATCCCTTGTTGGAATGAATATAATTCATTTGAATCAAAAACAAATTACTAAATTTTCACTGGATGTTTTCTCTAAGCTTATTTAGAATGTTGTTGTGTCTCTTTCACACGTTTGAAAGTGGGAACCCGTGTCTCAAATTGAGTGGTAATTTAGAACAATTTATTCGATGAAAAGATACACCATCTATTCTGCTCTTCACTGGTTTTGTAAAATTTTGTAAAAAAAAAAAAATCATCCTCTTGCAATTTGTCTTTTTAAAGGGCTTGTTAATATGGCACAGCATATAACAGCACATAAAATATTCTAAAACTAGTGAGTGGTTGCCCCTTGTTGTTGTTTCTCTTTTGCTTATTTTCTTTTTAAAAAGATTTTATTTATTTTTAGAGAGAGGGGAAGGGAGGGAGGAAGCGACAGAGAGACACATCAATGTGCAAGAGAAACACTGAGCAGCTGCTTCTTGCACACCCCCAACGGAGGGCCTGGCCTGTGACCCAGGCATGTGCCCTGACCGGGATTTGAACCAGCAACCTTTCAGTTTGCAGGGATAAGAAATGCCCAACCCACTGAGCCACACCAGTCAGGCTTTTTTGCCTCTTTTTCAGAAGCACAGATAATGATGATGCTACTAAAAGAAAAGTCAACCTGGTCTTTGAGAAAATCCAGACTTTGAAGTCTCGAGCAGCAGGGAGCACACAAGGAAATAATCAAGTAAGCTGAAGTTTTGTTATCTTGCAGAGGGCATTTAACATGGAATGTGGCAAATAAACTGCTGTTTCTTCAGTCAATACAACTGGTTATAGCACCAAATGGGAAGTTTCCCCAGTAGTGGGCAGCCCCTGAGATGGAAGATCATGTTTTAAATGTTAGGAATTTGTACCCTGTCTCTTTTTTTCAGAAAGGTTTTAAGATAGTTTATTGAAAAAATATAATAGGATGAAACAGATTTAGAAAAGGAAAATAAAGAGTGGAAAGAATGAAGCAAAATAATGAATTTGCCTAGCATTATCATAGGCAAATTCAGAAGGTAAGTGTGAACTGGCTTGGACCCAAGCTCTGGAACTTCAGAGAATAAGAAATAAGAGAATAATATCAAGAGATTAAGGAATAGAGACCAGTGAAGCCAACCAACATTGGTGGAAGGGGAAAGGAAGGAATGGAGTGATGACAATTTTTTTTTAAAAAAAAGCTTATTTAATTGATTGTACTGAATTCAAGTTGGGACTTGGAGAATTTTTGTTGTCGTTGTTAAAAAAGGGCTCATCTCATAGTCTATGAATATCTACCATGTCAGACACACCTTGTGCTTGAGAGGAAGAGGCGTTTAAGGGAGATGACTAAACACTTGTTCCTCAGTTCACCACCACTGTGAGCTGGGGCCCTTTCCTTGCTTGTGCATCTTTCCTTTCTCCTCCCTGGGGAATCCTGCATGGCCAGGGAAGAGAAGATACCCAGAGGAAGGTAACAGGAAGTTTGTCTGTAGCTTCTTTTCAACTTTGGAAAAATATATGGAGGATATTTTTAGGCATCAACTGCTTTCTTTCTTCCACTGCTCAGTATTCCTGTAGCACTCAGCTACCTGCGACTGCTGCTCAGGCATCAAGTGGAACTCTCTTGGCATCAAAGAGAACCATTTATGTATATGTATATTTATGTGTGTATATATGTGTTATTTTTGGGTACATATACATACAGACATACAGGGTTGGGCAAACCTAGGTTTACAATTCATGTGGAAAATACAATAATTAATAAATAACGCTAGAATAAACTGCGTCGCATACTCACAACTGTAAACCTACGTTTGCCCACCCCTGCATATAATATTTATTGATACATATATTAACCATTGTCCGTGGGGAATCTTTAGATGATACACTTTGCTGTAGGTGCTCTACATGGTTCTCAAAATTAGTTTAGGGATTTTTTTTTTTGCTAAAATTATTAAATCTGAATTATCACTCTGACTCTTGCTTTTCATTACCTGCGTATTCTTAGGGATAATACTTCCTTTGTGTTCTCCCTGAGTAAAAAATAAAACCGCTTTTTTTTTTTTTTTGACATCCTTTGATCTTGATGTTCAGGTTGTGATTGTGGGTCACAGACTAGGGGTACCCAGCCCAAGCTGGGGAAGATAGGGTAGCCCTTCTGGAGCCGGTCACGCTAGAATTCTCTGGGAGAAGGGAATGCAGGGCATTGTAGGTAGGGGGAATGACACAAATATAAAGAGACATGTGCTTGCCATATTTAGGGGAAGGAGGAAATTTTGTGTAGCTGGAGCAGAGAGTATGTGGGGAGGAAGCATCAGGTAGGAAGGATGGGGCAGAAATCGCATACAAAGTTTCCACTTCCCGTTGAAGGTGATGAGCTACCATTGATGGACTTGAAACAGGAATGGATAGTGTCATATTCCTAAAATTCATTCCTTTTGTAGCTTTTTGAGAGAGGCAAGATTAGAGGAAGGGAAACCATTTAAGAAGCACTGCTGAATGAAGGGAGAGATGCTGAGAAAATGAACTAAGGGTCTTAGACTTCTGGCTCCGATCACGGGTCAGTGACTGCCTCATTGCCCATATTTTTCTACTCCCGTTATCTCCCTCTTACTTTCTGAATCTGATTATTTGCTGACAAAGGCTTTGGAGTTTTATCTTTTTGGTGTCGGTTAAGTGATTTCCTGTGAGAGAATATAAGAACCCTCTCTCTTATGGACTGAGACCATATTGGGAAGCAGCAAAACCGGCTGAGTTTTTGTTTGGGAAAGAGCAGTGTGTAAGTTCCTCATGGGTTGGATTTAGATTTCTAAAGTGGATTGTTCTTATTTTATCTGAGAGAATTGGAAGTTCTGTGTTTTTGTTGATTGTGTAGGGGGTTTTCTGGTTAACTTCACAGGAGGAAGTAAGGAAATAGCTCATTCCAAGTTCATCACACACAACTCACACCTGGATTCAGGCGCATGAAGGCCAAGTTACTGCCTCTTCTAGTTTTGATTCCGGCTTTTATTCCCCCTCCCCTAGTTGTAGTTTTCTAACCACATTGCTGTAGGATTTTAGCCAAGTCCTTTTGAGAACATCATCCTATTACTACATCCATGGAAGAAAAAAAGATGAGATTCATTAATATTCATACTCGGATCAGAGATATTTTCTAATAGACTCTCTTTAATCGGATCCCTTTTTATTATCTCTCCATTATGGAAATGTGACATCTATTTTTTAAAATTTAATAAGGTTTGATTTATTCTTTTTTTTATTTTTTATTGTTGTTCAATTATAATTGTACCCATTTTCCCCCTTACGCTCCCCTGCCCTACCCACTCTCCCTCCCACATTCAATCCTTACCCCTCCCCTTGTCCTTGTCCATAGGTCCCTTATACATGTCCTTGACTTGACCCTTTCCTCTCAGAAGACAGCCAATTCAGCCAGCATACATTTACTTACTACTTGCACACAGCCATACTCAGAGAGTGAGGGATAAAAATCTCATTGGTGGTTATGAAATCTAATGAAAATTCTTGTTAATAGATTTTTATACAAAGGGGCTTGGGAACACAGAGACATGGGCTTTGGGTATTACTTTATGCAATAGAAATCTTCACAAATATTTACTTTGATCCTTTTACGTTTTTTTATTGGGGTATAACTTCCAGTGAATTCACAAATCTTAACTGCATAGTTTATTGATTTTTTAAAATCCATAGGTATGAGTCCGTGTAAACACCACCAGATCAAGATACAAGACACTCCTGTCACTCCTGAAGGTCTCCTCGTGCTCCTACCCTGTAGGGATCTACATTGGAATTGAGTCTTAAGATTTTCGTGTTTCTGCTCTGATTATATTTTTGCAGAAAGAGAATTAAAATAAAGCACCTTGAACATTTAAATTAGTGTATCTTTGCAATTAATTGTAGGCATCTAATTCATCATCTGAAGTCAAAGATCTATTGGAACAGAAAAACAAGTTGACCACAGAAGTGGCTGAACTTCAGAGACAGCTTCAACTAGAAGTCAAGGTATCTGATTTTTCCTTTTTTTTTTTTTTTAAAATTTCTGTCTTGATTGATAACGAACATTTTAAGTACCCTGGGATGCCCAAGTGAATTGAAAGCCAATTTTTTTTCCCCTGAAAGAAACATCCCTCTCATTACCGGAGTAAATTCCTGTATATGGACTTCTACTGTCCAACTAACTTTTTTTTTTAAAGTAACCAAAGCATATAAAGACTGTTTGCTTTGACAGAGTAAAAGAAACACTGTTGGATTCAGACAGGCCAGTCGGAAACTAAATACATATAAAAATATCGGAACTAAGTAATTGAAATAGCAGAATGAGGTTTAGCTGTGTGTGTGTGTGTCTCTTTTAGAAGTGTTACAATACATTAAATATTTAATATCCTTTCTAGTTACAAACTCTTATGCTTTAATTATGTAGTTCAGTTAATAATTAATAATGCAATTAATAATGAATAATATAAGTGCAAAGACATGGAGTCCATCAGAGTTCAGAAGTAGGCTTCTGTGGAATGACATTAATATAAAGTGGAGGTACTGTAAAGTCATGTGTATTCCTATTAGAATCAACAGAACCTCAAAGAAGAGAGAGAAGAAATGAAAGCAAACTTAGAAGAGCTCCAGAACCAGCATGACAAGAAGGTGGAAGAGAACTCCATGCTGCAGCAGCGCCTGGAAGAAAGTGAAGGGGAACTCCGGAAACACCTGGAGGAGTAAGTTCTGGGCCAAGGGTCTGGTCCTCCTTCTGATGTCAGCAGAACCTTTTAGTTCCTTTAGTACTACCTGGTCTTCCAAATGTTTGTAGTGGCTGCTGATTCTTCCTGTTCTCCTGGGTAAGCAGAAAGGTTAATCATTTTAAAATTCTTTGTATACCTTAAAGGATGTCCTGTAAACTTTCAGCCCTTAGCGTGGATCTCATAACAGGTAAGTGAGAAATAAGGAACACTGAATGGTGATATCTGAAGACAGATGTCAAGGAGCCTGAACTCAGACTCCACAAAGCACATGTCCCAAGACCTGCGTAATGTCGTGGTCTGTGAATGTTATCCTGGATGGAGCTGGTCTCTGTGACCTGTGCTTATGCTTCTCTTGAGTTTGCAGAGATGGAAAGTCAAGCCCAAGGTGGTTCTGTCATTGTGTTGCATCAAAGTCTGTGAAAAAAATAAAATCTGAATTGGGGGTCTGAAAGGGTGCTGTGCTGTGAAGCCCTGTGGACATGATGGGACCTTGAAGGGAAGGTTTAAGCAGGAGTGAAATCTGCAGGAAAATTCAAGAAAAATAGGACATTATATATATAATGGAAGCATTTAATTGCTTTGGCTATTTTGATGGGGTAGTTTTTGCTTCTAAAACATTCTTAGAGGTTAATTTTAGAAAAGAAGTTGGTGAGGAAAAAAAATTAGAAAATTGAGAGTTTAACAAAGACTTTACAAAAGAAAAAGGTAGAATTAGTCATGAATTTGATTTAGACCAGAGGTTAGTAAACTTGTCCGATAGTAAATACTTTACGGTTTATGGACCATATGGTCTTTGTTGGAATCACATAATTCTGCCATTGTATTGTGCAAATAACCGTAAGCAACACATAAATGAATGAGCATGGCTGTATTCCAATAAAACTTTATTTACAAAAGTAGTCAGTAGGCCAGATCGGCCCATAGACCATAATTTGCTGACTCTTCTGATCTCCAGTACTGGGGGGCTGGGAGAGCAGAGAATGGGAGGCTTCCTGGGGCTTTAAGTGACTCTACTTGAGCATCTGAAGGTCTGAAATCAGACCAGATGAAATTGCTCAGGTGAGTCTGTCTGATGGACTCCCTTTCCTGTCAGGCTGTTCCAGGTGAAGATGGAACGGGAACAGCACCAGACTGAGATCAGAGATCTCCAGGACCAGCTCTCAGAAATGCACGATGAATTGGACAGTGCTAAACGATCTGAGGACAGGGAGAAGGGGGCTCTGATTGAGGTAAGAGGACTATGGGGTCAGGTGACAAGATAGGTCCATCTGCCTGAGGAGGATGAGGTGGTGGAGGTGGGGTGGAGACTGAGTGCCGAGAGCCACACTCTGTTTTGAGCATTGGCTCCACCTGTGCCTTTGGTTAGATTCTGTAAGAGCATCATAAATAATAGTTTCTAAACATTGTCTTAAGAAAACTTTCCACCATATAGAAAAGTAGGAAGAATACTTCATTAACTTCCCCAGAGTCCCAACCCAGATACCACAGTTGTCAACATTTTGCAATATTAAACCACTTATTCGTCTGCCCACCCATTCTTCCTTCTGTTTTTTTTCATGCATCCATTTATTTATCTTTGCTTAACCGTTTCAGAGCAAATTACAGATAATGCCATGCCTCACTCCTAAATTCTTAAGCATGCATTTTTGAAAAATTGGGGGATTTTCTTACAATTTATTATCACTTCCAATACTATTATGACACTTGACAAATTTAATAATTCCTTTAATATATATAACATAACAAGAATTCTAATACCTGGATCCTTATTCAAAATTTTCCAGTTGTCCCCCAAGTATGTTTTATGGTTGTGTTGCCCCTACCTCCCAGCCAGGATCCAATCAGGAATCCCACGTTGCTTTCATTGCTGTCTGAGTTGTCATTTACCCTAGCATAGCCCTCTCCCCCATTCCCCACTCTCTGCTTTTTTTCTCCCATCCCATCCATCTTCTGAAGAGACGAGACCAATGCCCCACTGATTTGTCTGATTATTTCCTTATGGTGTTCATCCCATGTGTTCTAGTAAATTTGTATTTAGGTCTCTACATCAATAGATTTAGGTTAAACTTTGGGCAAAATATTTTGTAAGTAATGCTATTTATGGAAAATCATTGAAAAGACATTAATACCCATATAGCACTTATCACAGGTTAAATTTTTATTTGTTTAATGTCCTGCTAGACTGTAATCTTCAGGAGTGGGGGTTGGTGATGGTTGGCTCAGTATTTTATCCGTAGCAGCTACCCCAGTGCTTGGGACATGTAGCGCTTGGTGAATATTTGGTGATTGGTTGGATGGGTACATTATGAGTAAGTGAATGAATGAATGAATCTATTTGCTGTGTACACAGATTGTCCATCTGGCCTCTGCCCATATCAGTTAAATATTTAGCTCTTATCAATCCGTGAGTCAGTAGATAAGGCTGACTCTTTTCCCTGCTTAGCATTTGCTAATTATATTTATTATGGGGTTTTACAAAGACAGTTATTATTTTTTTCCCTGAATTAGATTATCATCCTTTTGAGGTGTTAGATACACAAATATAAAATGATCAGAGAGCAAGAATAGGTTTTGAATATCTACATTTTTTTGTTGGAAATGAGTCTAATTGAGGGTCACAAGAAGACAGAAGTTTTATATCTGTGCCCATTTAGGTGTTTTGATATTTGCTGTAACATTACCATTACCTGTATTTTTGGCATAGTTTTGAAATTTATTTTTTTTAAAGATTTATTTATTTATTTTTAGAGAAGGGAAGGGAGGGAGAAAGAGAGGGAGAGAAACATCAGTGTGTGGTTGCATCTCACATGCCCCCTATTGGGCACCTGGCCTTCAACCCAGGCATGTGCCCTACACTGGGAATCAAACCTGTGACCCTTTGGTTCATAGGCCGGAGCTCAATCCACTGAGCCACACCAGCCAGGGCTGAAATCTATTTTCTTAATACATTTTATTTTGTAGGAATAGCCTGAAAAAGAAATGATGCACAATTTAGCACAAAGCAAAAAAAAAAAAAAAATTCAACCAAGAGGTACCTTGTTGGTATTGAACTTTCATTTTCTACTGCTTTCCCCCTGCGGACTTGAGTAGTCACTTTCTTGGGGCTAAAAGCTGCTGGCTCATACGTCCCTACAGTTCCTTGTTCAGTCTCTGCTGTCAATTGTTTTCTCACCCTCTTCCTTGTTTAGTTTTGAAGTAATTCCCCAGGAAGGATTTAGTTCCTGCCCTTTAGAACTTAGTCTCTCTCTTCCCCATGACTTGGCAAGGACTGAGAGCTGAGCGCTGTGGCCACACTGCACAGGAGTTATGAATTTGTTTTGTTTTGTTTTTTTGTTTTTTACATGGCTGGTAGTGGGGAATCCTTTTTCTTCTCCCCACATGATAATCTCTCTGTCTCTGTTTAGACCTTTTCTCCCAAGAAGGTTTTAGGTCTGTTTCTTACCACCTGGTATTTCTCTTTTTATCCAAGGATTTCTTAAAAACTACCACATTCATGGTATTATGCTACTTCTCATGGCTCTACCTTCTTCTCATGTCGGAGAATTGCAAAGATAAGGTGTATTAGAATGCAGCTCTGAGAAGGTGTTTATCACTGAAATATTAAAACCACTAATTAAAATTTTAAAATGAGGGTTGGGTTGGTGGAAAAACACTTTCCTAATATCTAAACAACTATTTTTATTTTTTCATTTTCTGTTTGGCTCTCTCTCCTCTGATGGTTTTCAACTACCTGTCTATAATGTAGGGACAGTTACAGTGTCCCTACAGTTTTGATCTCTGCTTATAAAACTTAACATTAGAAATATTTTCCCTTATTATACCTTACAGTCTTCATTTCATTTTTAAGCCTATCAACCACAATATATTGAATCATCCTCCTATATTTGTTTCTTTTTTTTAATTATGAAAAAATATGGTGAGCATTTTTCACATGTATCCTTGCCCTTTGTTAGAAAAATATCCTGAGGGATAATTTCCCAGAAATGATGTCACTGAACAGTTTATAGCTTAATAAAAATGTAGCTTCACAAACAAACTTAAATAGAATTTAAGGCTTTGACATACTTTATGATTCCTTGTGTGGATACTTCATTGATTTTAAAAGAGAAAGATATTTATCTTAGCTATTGGGAAGTCCCTTAAGTTGCTGAATTTTGCCAGTAAGTGAAACCTATAATTGTTACCTGCTCTTTCCCCTGAAAACCCTCAATCCTTTTAAATTTTTTATTTTAGCACATTTGACCTTGCCTTATTTTTGTATCTCTCTTTATGTTCTACTAGCCAGCTAATTCAATAACATATCATGTTTACATCTTCCGCTACTACATACATGCCAAGCAACAGAGCAAATGAATAAATAAATTTCAATATCTACATTATTTTTTAAATGCCATCTTTTTAAGAAAAGGGAATATTTCTGAAATGACCTATATGCTTCTTTGCCTCTTTAAACACAGAATACTGCACATATATCAATGAACATAATGTAATTAATTAGTTTATTGACACAGTTGTAGTGGAAACTGGGATATAAGCCTCAGTGTTGGTGATGTGTTTTCAGGCAGAGGCCAATACTGAGAGATTAGGGAAGGAAAACAAAGCACATCTTTTCTTAAAAATGTTCCCGATGTTGCTGGCTTTATGTTTGTCTCTTTCCTGTAATGGGAATTATATTTGTCATCTACTGCTGCCCTTCTGCAAAATGAGCTAAGGCACAATTAGCTTCTCTCTGCCAAAGTGCAGTTCTCTTCCTCTGGAAAATCATCCTCATTGTTTAAATCAGTTTTACTTTGACTTGTCAGTGACATTTAAAACATGATCTATGGTTTCTCTATCACTCATAAAATAGACTCCATCTCCTTGTCTCTTTCAATTTATTCTTCATATCTTAACAAGAAGCGGCTAGGGAATCCGATAACAGATTACGGTTGTGGCCAAGTTTTCTATGGCATTTAGCTTAGAACAGACTCTTAAACATAATGAACATTAAACACATTGTGCTTTTGAATGTTTGAAAATGGCTGATGGCCCTATATTTCATGAGGTGCCCGATGCACAATATTTTTCACAAAATCTCTTCTAATACTACTTCACATTTTATTAAATAACATTGGGCCCCTAACTGGAACTAGTATACAGACAGGATACGATAGTTTAAGAAAAAAAGGAAGAAAGGAAATAAAATAAGGAAGAAAGAAAGAGTGAAAAATAATCCTGTTTTCGCGGGATAAGCCATACAGTTGGTCAATAATAGCATGACTTTTTTTATTCTTGAACAACTGATGGTTCTAAATTTTTGTTTTTAACTCAATTTACAAAAATGATTATAGAACAAATTTTCAGCTACTTCTTTGTCCAAAAATGTGTTTTCCTCTATCCTGGGGGAAATGGGTAAACATGAAACATCTGCCGAGTGCCACGGCCGTGGGGCTTTCTCACTGCTGGCCGTCATCTCTGGTGGGGGCCTGCGGCGCGGAGCGCTGGCCCTCACTCCAGCAGCCTTGCGGTGTTTGATCTCTGGCTTTGCCAACCTGCAAGTCCTGTAAGTATCTGTAAAATATGACAGTTATGAAATTGTATTGATCTGGGGTAGACTCTTCTCAGAAATTATATTACTGAACATTATAGGAATTTTAATAAAAAAACTAAAAATAAAATCATGTTTCTCACCCACCCTGTTACACTTTTTTGGCCATCCTTCTGGAAAAAAAAAATTGCATAATTCTCTGTCACCTACAGTTTTGATATAAAACCCTTTACTTACCCTTTAATTGAGCATGGGCCAGAGAGGCCCTTTAGAACCTCTGGGAAGCATTTATGCAGAAGGGGGTTTAGATCAGTACTTTCCTCCTTTGACACGGAATGCCTATGAATAGGTGGCGTGTGAAATAAAGCGTTCCATGGGCAAGAACATTGCTGCTTTGGACATCTGGTGTGCATCTCTTAGTGCACATGTTGTTAGGACAGCCACTTGCTGCTGCTGGGCCCAGAGAGAACTTCCTTTTTCTCTCATCTTTGCTTCTTTCTTGTCTTTTTAGGTTCTGGTCATGTTTCTTTGCTTTAGTTTGGAAATGTTTAGCACAAGTCTTATTATGTAGTAAGTACCACATACAGTCAACTTGTATAGCCTCCCACACCCACACATACACATCCACACACACAACAGGTTTTCATCTCCTGGCTGCTTTCATGAGTGTGGCTAGCCTAGGTTTTGAAAGCGCTGCTTCTGAATAGCCAGTGTGTTCCCTTGTTTTCTTTGATTGGAGTCTGTAGAGAGGCATGTTCATTTCTAATGGGTGTTGACTTCTATTTTGAAGTTTATATATTACCTCTCTCATCTTCGGCTTGGTATAATTGTCAGTAAAGCCACTGAAGTGATGGAGTGACATTTTTTAAATCCCTTGTGCTTTTTGGTCTCTACCCTGGAAAACTTCAAGTGCTACTAAGTGATATGGTGAGGTGTAATCTGATTGGATCTGCGCAACACAGTCCACTTAAGCAACAGCCCCAGCCACAGATAGCAGCCTTTGGTGTAGAATGGACCATAAAACCGCGGTTCTTAGCATGCATTGGCGGCAGTACACAAAAGGCAACTCAAAACACAGATATATCCTGGAAAAGATAAGTGTGGGAAGAGGAACTACCTTATCGTCAAAACAATTGAGAAACGTGTGAGAATAAGAGCAGGAAACAGAGGTTAGATTCTCAAGGGCTGTGGTGCAGAGGCTGGCACGAGGCTCCAGGAAGACCTAACAGAGGAGCCAATGGCAGCAGTGACGGGGGAGTCTCTGCTGGCCATTAACGGGGGCTGTGCAGTGGCGGCAGCAGGGATTGCCCTTTGATAAATATCGGGATGGTGTACATTTTCATAGGATTGCTTGTGTTCTGTGTTAGGTGCTTGAGAAGAGCCAGTGTTGCCTTAGCTACCTGGATGAACCTCTTGAAGTTTCATCTGAGCTTATCAATGCCTATAGCTGGATTCCTGAAGGACTAGGCTTGGTCTACGCAATGCAGCTCTACCCTGGGACTGTAGAGGTTCCCCTGGTTCAATGGATGTGCATATTGTAAGGAAAAGGAAAGAGATTCTATGGGCAGTTATACTTAAATCAATGCGACTATTTTTATCCACTCACCAGTGACACTTCTTGAATGGAAAGTAGCTTTACACTGAGGCCTCCGGTCCCCAAGTAGCAACCATTCCTCTAATTCCCCAGGAATCTCTAGACTCCGGATGGGCTGTACATGTTAATTTATTTATATTCAAAACAGACACAGTCCCAATATCATTGATCTGTGCTTTAAAATATATTTAATAAGATTTATATCCTTCTTTCAAGGAGCTGATAGTCTCGCAGGGGAGATAAGAAAATAAATATATGGACTGCGAAGTTAAAGTGTCAAGCACAATGATGAGTACACAAAGTGAGTTGGGTGTTCAGGGGGAGGATTCAAGGAAGACGTCTCTGAGGAGGTCATATGAGTCTCCAGAGATCGTTTGAAAGGCAGAGAGAGGAAGAAGGGCACTTCAGAGGAAGCGATGTGTCTAATGTCATAGAGGCCACAGGTGAGAGACTGGAAATGGGGAGAGCAGCTGGGAGGCTATTGCACACCACGTGGCCAGGAGGTGAGGAGGGTCTAAACCAGGGAGATGAGGGAAATGATAGCAGATGTTATAGAACTAACTTTTTGGTTGTGAGGGACAAGGATGAGATTGGTCAGGTTGCTGCCGGGCTTCTCAGCAGGTGGTGACTTCACAGGAATAATGAACAAAGGAAATGGAAAGGAAGGAACATGATGGAAAATATAGACCTACTGAACCTGAAGTGCCCATAGGACATCCAGATGGATGTGCCTAGCAGGTCATTGGTAGTGCAGGTCTGAATTCAGGTTAAGAATTGAAGGTAAAAGTTTGGGAGTTATTTACATAGAATTAATAGTTGGAGAAAAGTAGATGAGCTTACTGGAAAAAAGAATAAAGAATGCAAAGGTGCATTCTTGGGGATCATCTTATCTTTTGGGAAGAGGGAGAGAAAAGCCAGAGAAGATTGTCACAGGAAAACAATAATGGCCTGAGGGAAGAAAACAGGAGAGTGTAGTGTCTTTGAACTACAAGGCAAATGAAAGTTTAAGAAGACAGGTGGGGAGGATCAAACAGGGGTCGAGAAAAGGAAGGACTGAGAAAGGGCCATTGGATGTGGTGGTTAAGCGGTCACTCTGACCTTGGAGGGGGCACTCTTAGTAGCCTAGGAATAAGAGCCATATGGCAAGAGATGATAATAGAGAATGAATAGTAGTAGGTGGTCAAGAAGTTGAAGCAGTGAACAGAAATTATACTTTCAAAAAGTTTGGTAGGAAAGTTTTTTTTTTTTTTCTTTCTCTTGACTCAGGGGAGTCTTGTGCCCTGAGGGGAAGAACATAGATCCCCTGGAAACAGAAAAGAACAAAATGCAGGGGAGAAAAGATAATGGATAGAGTAAGGACTTGGAGCAGGCTGGCCAGCGACAGCTCACTGCGAAGTGGCTTCCTGTTGGGGAGAAGACCTGAAGAACGGAGAACGGGGGTGAGAGGGAGCTGAGGTGGCCATGCCCAAGTCCTGGTCAAGGGTGAAGGAAGGGAGTCCACCAGGGAGGGTGGGTTCTGAGCGTGAGGAGAGCTGAGCGGGCCTGGTGTGCAGATGGCAACGCAGAGGAACACTTGCTGAGCTTTTGGCAGAACACACGTGGGTTTAGGTAATGCGATTTGTCATGGAACTTGTTGCCCCAGTTTTGTGACTTTATGAACTCTGAGTGGCTGAGGAGAAAATGGGAGTATTTTGCCCTGTTCAGATGGAGGGAGACTGGAGCGGGGTCAGCCCCAGGACTGGGGTCATGGATTAAGGGTTCCAGCGGGATGTGAAGTAAGCAAGGTCAGCAAGTCAGCGTGACCCTGTGAAGCAACAATGTGTAATGACCCCATTAGCAAGGGCCACAGACCATGGCCCAGAAATGAAATGGGATAGAAAAGACAGACATGTCCTCTCAAAGCAATGAAAATTAAATCAGTTTCCCTTTTCTTCCTCAAATCTCAAGAAAGCTAAGCTAGTTAAGGGGAATGATGGCCTCTGAGGAGTGAAAGAGGAGAGCAAGGGACGGTTCCATCAATGTGAGGAAGGATTCAGTGCACGGCGAGAGGTGAGAGGGTGGCCGCCCCTCTGAGTGGCCCAACTGGAGGAGAGAAGCAGGGCAACTTGATGGAAATGGTTCATCTTTACCTTCCTGCTCATGTCTCCTCTCTTTAGGAACTCTTACAGGCAAAACAGGACCTTCAAGATCTGCTTATCGCCAAAGAGGAGCAGGAAGACCTCTTGAGGAAGCGGGAGCGTGAACTCACCGCCCTGAAGGGAGCCCTGAAAGAAGAGGTTTCCAGTCACGACCAGGAGATGGAGAAGCTGAAGGAGCAGTATGACGCCGAGCTGCAGGCCCTGAGGGAGAGTGTGGAAGAGGCGACCAAGGTGAGTGCCCCGACCGCAGGCCAGCCCATAGCGGGTGTCAGGAGGGGCAAGGCAGTGTGGCTTGGGAACAGCTAACAGGGCAAGTCGTGTCCTAGACCACTGCAAGCTGTCCTGTTTCATCACGTCATGGAAACAGAGCTTGTTTACAGGGAATAAGCTCAACAGTGCTGCCGTTGACTGTGTTAAGTCTGAAAACTTAAAAATTACTTAGAACATTGTTTAAGTTGTTGCACCAGGTGAGAGTCAGAGGCCCTCGCATGAACTCCAGAAGTTTTGCAGCCCCTTGCAGAACAGAGATCTGTACCCCTCCAGGTGTGCCTAAAGGTCAGGGGCCCATGACATTGTGTGGTTTTGCTATTGGCACAAGACTGCAGAGGGGACCCAGAGTTCTGGAATCCTTCATGCCTGCCCTAGGCTGTTCCTCCTGACTTGTGAAGCCTTTTGTTAGACGTTTCAGGTTCTTTCCTCAGCAAAGGTACAAGAGGGTTAATTGGCTGAATTGCCCAAACCTTTGCAAGATGATTTTTCTCTTAATTGAATTCTTGGCTCTTACAAAGAGATTCTCCTAAATTATGCTGAAGTCTTTTGGTGTCAGCCTCATGTTGGCTGTTGAAAAAGAGAAAAGGCAATGTTTTGAGAGGAAATGCTTTGAAATATCATGCCATCTTTAGGGAAAGAGGGGAATTACAGAGCACGCACGATGCACCGATGCACCGAGTGCAATGTATAGGTCAAAGATGACGAAGAAAGAGGTCTTGCAATGGCTTGTTTACTCTGAGGATTACAGCTGACAGCTCAGAGCTCGCAGGTCCTCCCCTCACTAAGCTCCATAGTGATTCACTGATTTCAATTACAGCACGGTAATTACAAATGACAGGAAGTGAATGATGGGTTTGCTTGTTATAACAATAAAAAGTCTGGGAAATAGTCTGTTTGGGGTTATTATAACTGAGGCAGTTAAAAAGAAAAAGGCCACTTGTTGACTTGCCTATCTTAGATTCTTTTGAGATAGGGTTTCGTTTGAGAGAGAAAACCAAAACGGATTGAATTCTCATTGCTTTTAGGGGATGTCTTTTTTCCACCTCATTTTGCTTGTGTGCAATAGCCTGATGCCCTTCCTAGTGGCCTTTCTATGTTGTTGCTTCATGGGGGACATGCCAATACGCAACTGAGTAAAATGATTCTTCTTTGAACCCATGATATCTGTATCATCTTCAGACATTGCATCAAAGCTTAAGATAACATAGGTAGTTGAGGATGGTGTTCAGGCATGTTTACAGCAATTTCACTGTAAGGAAGACTAAACTGGTACCACACATGGGTCTCTCCCAGACATTATAAATGGGGAAGGGAAGCATGGTAGGTGAAAGAGGATATCTCTGTTGTATGGAGTTGAGATAGTCTGTAGAGACTTAGGCTGTTGCATTTTGACCTTTTCGAAGGTCAGCATTGTATGTTAGGTCACGGCACTTGCATTATGCCAGTTCAAGAGAGGTAACTGCATTGACCCACATCAGTCTGTGAAAGAAACAACAGGTGACTTAGCCAAGGTGTACATCACTGGCAGAGAATGTAGGGTTTCTGAGGACCAGGAAGTGAACACAGAGGGGTTCACCTTGGCATCCAGTGGGTGCCTGCCAGCAAGCCTCTTGGCCCCAGGTCACATTCTGTACCGCTGCCAGCCTCTTTCCCTGAGAGAACAAATCTGGTCATGTCAGCTTCTTCTTTACTAACTGCCTTGGCTCTCCGTTGCCCCAGGCTTAAGTTCAAAACTGTGAGCACGGTAGGCAATAGAAGCCCCTTCTTTTTCTAACTCTCTCTCCAGAAAACTCCATATTCTTTTAGTCCTCTCACATCTTTACATATATGGAATGATTTCCTTCCACTGTTCTGCCTGAGCAAATTTTGCTCGTCCTCCAAGACCCTCCCTAAATGTCCTCTCTTCTCTGAAGGTGTCCCAGATACGGCCACTCCCCTTGGTGGAATCAGTCACACCTTCCTTATGGTTTCTGTTGCACCCTGGTTATTCCTCTACCAGGAATGATTAGTTTGTATCATGCCATGTTGTGATTTATCATTTTGTCTGCTGACCCCATGAGACTCTGAGCTTCTTAAGCACAAAGGCCATATTTATCACTTTTTTTTCCATAGACTAAGATTGGCACACTCAAGTGCCTCAGGGCCCAGACGGGGACATACATGAGTGAAACTCTGGGAGTGTTGTTGAGGTGACAGGGGGGCATGGTAGGGACTGTCACAAGCTGGAAAGTGTATCCTTTGCTATAAGGTCAGAGTTGCCTGTATTGGGCCTATGTTACTTATCTCTCGATTTTTAAAGAGAAGCCAGATAGCTGGATGTTGATGTGAACTCTCCTAACTTTTAAGCAGTGCCTCAAGTTCAAAAAAAAAAAGAAGAAGAAGAATCACATAAAAAAAGAAAAAAGACCCGAACACAATGCATCTGCAGGTCGACTAGAGCTTAGCACAGTACCCAGCATGCAGTCACATCTGTGCAATGTCTAATTAGTGAAGGTAAATGGAGGACAAATTCCCCTCTTTACTGGCTTTTCAGGCCTGGTTTGTGGTTACCACTGGATTTTCTCCAACAATGATGTGAGAGGTCTTTTAGGAAATCTGCTATTACTCTGTGAATGTCTGTGCCTTACTTTTGAGTATCCCTGTAGTTTTTCTAAAAGAAGATTATGAATAAATTTTTATAACTTAAGTTTTGCTTCTGCAGGTAGTTGCTGAACAAATGTGTCAGAGAATGTTTAGTGGAAAAATTTATGTTAGTGGACAGATGCTGCCTTTTTGTTACATTAGTTGCATGTGGATATTATATAACAGAACTTTTTAAAGTATATCTTATTGGTTATGCTATTACACTTTTTCATTTTTCCCCCTTTGCCCCGCCCCGCTCCACCTGGCACCCCCATTCCCTCCAGCTATCCTCTCCCTTAGTTCATGTCCATGGGTTGTACCTATGAGTTCTTTGGCTTCTCCACTTACCATACTATTTCCAACCCCCCCTGTCTATTCTGTGCTTATCAACTATGCTTCTTATTCCCTGCACCTTTTCCCCCATTCTCCTCCCACCCCCTCCCCACCTGATAACCCCCTACATGTTCTCCATATCTATGACTCTGCTCCTGTTCTAGTTGCTTGCTCTGTTTCTTTGTTCTTTTTAGATTCTGTTGTTGATAGTTGTGAGTTTGCTGCCATTTTACTGTTCATAGTTTGGATTTTCTTCTTTTTCTTAGATAAGTCCCTTCATCATTTCATACAACAAGGGCTTGATGATGATGAATTCCTTTGTCCGGAAAGCACTTTATTTGCCCTTCAACTCTAGATGATAGCTTTGTTGGGTAGCGTAATCTTGGATGTAGGTCCTTGTTTTTCATCTCTTTGTATACTTCTTGCCAGTACCTTCTTGCCTGCAATGTTTCTTTTGAGAAATCAGCTGATAGTTTTATGGGCATGCCTTTGTTGGTTACTCTCTGCTTTTCTCTTGTTGCTTTTAAGATTCCCTCTTATCTTTAACCTTTGGCATTTTAATTATGATGTGTCTTGGTGTGGCCCTCTTTGGGTCCAACTTGTTTGGGACTCTCTGAGCTTCCTGGACTTATGTGTCTAGTTCCTTCACCGAATTGGGGAAGTTTTCTTTCATTTCATAATAATAATAATAATTTTTCAATTTCTTGCTCTTCCTCTTCTCCTTCTGGCACCCCTATGATTTGGATCTTGGTACGTTTATACTTGGCCCAGAGATCCCTAAGCCTCTCCTCATTTTTTTGAATTCTTGTTTCTTCTTTCTGCTCCAGTTGACTGTTTATTTCTTCCTTTTGTTACAAATCACTGATTTCAATCCCATCTTCCATCCCTTCACTGTTGGTTCCCTGTATATTTTTCTTTATTTTGCTTTGTATAGCCTTAACTTCTTCCTTTATTTTGTGGCTGTATCCAATCATTTCTCTGAGTATCCTTATCACCAGTGTTTTGAACTCTGCATGTCATAGGTTGGCTATCTCTGTGTCACTTAGTTCTTTTCTGGAGTTTTGGTCTGTTCTCTAATTTGGGCCATATTTCTTTGTCCCCACAATCTGGGAGCCTCCCTGTGTTTCTGTGTGTTAGGTAGAGCTGCTTTGGCTCCCTGTATTGGTGCACCTGTTACATTGTAAGGGGCAGACCCTTAGGTATTTGCCAGGGTGATGCCACCCGCTTAGCTGCCTTGTGGCACTGTATGTGGGGGAAGGGTCAGAGAGGGAACAATGCCACTTGCTCGGCTCTCACCCCATTTCCAGCTGCTTCTTCCAGTAAGCATCTGGCACCCTTCTGGCTACTCCCCTGGTGCTGATTTCCAGAGTGGGTGGGTTTACGTAAGTTCTAGGACCTTGTAGGCTCTTTAAATGGACTCTCCTGAGGAACGTCAGTTTCTTCCACCATGTTAGCCCCCACTGATCTTTACAGCCAGAGGTGACGAGGCTTTATTCTCCTGGTGCTGGAACCCTGGGCTGTGTTGTCTGTCCTGGGGCTGGGATCACTTGCTCCCTCGTTGTCCCTCCAAGTTTTTATCTGCCACATGTGAATGTGGGACCACCAATTCTGCCGTGGAGGCTGCCTCTCACCACCGCCGCTCCACACAAAATCCTCTCCACCCCTTCTACGCGTCTGGGTGAATGTTTCCTCTTTAAATCCTCCGTTGTTGGACATCTATGCAGTATGATTTTCTGGCAGTTCTAGTTTTTTTTTAATTTTTTTCTTTTGTTTTTAGAGTTCCTTCTTATGGTTGTGTGAGGAGGCAAAGCAAATCTACCTATGCCTCCACTTTGGCTGTAAATCTGTATAATAGAATTTTAGGATTATTATTTTAACTACTTGGAAGAGAGTGAATTAAATATATTTTTTAATTTGGTAAAGAACATTTCTTTTTATTTTTTATTTTTCTTTATTTTTTAAAAAAAGATTTAATTTATTTATTTTTAGACAGAGGAAAGGGAGGG